GAACTGGAGTGGTGAATAAATTTGTAGGCCTGAGAGAGTGCACTAACTAGAAATACATCTTCAACGGCCAATTGTGCCAAGTGCGATGAAGGGGAAACAGCAGGAGATGGTGATGCAAAATTTAGATTGAGGAAGTCAGGAGAGAACTGTCTAAGGGAGGTCGCAGCTAAATTTTGAGGAATACCTTTTCAGACTAGAAAACAACGCAGACCCTAGAGAAATGAATTGATCTGTGTGAGAAGCCCAAAGGAGGGTGGGGCAAGGCCAGGAGGGAGGTGGGAGAAAGGGAGGAACGAGAGGGGAGAAGCAGGCAAGGATCAGATCACATGAGGCCTTGAAGGCTATTTCAAAGAGGTTACATTTGAATCTAATTACAGTGTTCTTTAAAAGTTGTCTTTTTATTACTTTTTTAAAAATTTATTTATTTGAGAGAGAGAGGGAGACAGAGTCAGAGATCTCCCCATGGGTTTGTTCACTCTTCAGATGCCTGCAACAGCCCTGGGCCAGGCTGAAGCCAAGAGCTGGGAATTCAATCTGGGTCTCCCACATGGGTAGCAGGTGACCCAACTACTTGAGTCATCATCTGCTGCCTCCCACGTGCATCAGCAGGAAGCTAGAATGGAAAGCAGAGCCATCACTGGAACCCAGGCACTTTGCTAGTGGGGCAGGGGAGTCCTAAGCAGTGTCTTAACTTCTGCACCAAGTGTCCTAATCTTAGTAGGTAAGAAGTTCTCATGGGTAAAGTAAGAATAACGTTATGAAAAGGCATCTGTGAGAAGTACATTCCCACACCTCCACCCGATTTCTATCCCAGGTGATTACTATTACTAGTAATTTACTGATAATTTTAGTTTTTCTTTTTGCACATAAAATTTAAAAATATATTTTAATTGTCCCCCTGAAATTGGAAAAGACCCCCTAAAATCTACACTAAATTGTGGCCCCTTAAAGTTCCATAGAAATGTTATCTGGGGTGCCACATGCGCTACCGGAATTTGGGGTGCCTTACGATTTCACCACGGGCTTATTACTAAATCCCCGATATTAATAAGCCCGAGAGGGTTCTTGCCTAATATTTAGAGAAGAATTCTAAATACCGGCACAGATAAACGAGGCAGCATGGTACGTTTTCAGCTTTTATTTAGTAAGAAAGGTGCATAGGAGAGTGAGAGCTTTATTTAGGGGAAAGAGGTGAATAGGGGTTCATACCAAGCACCAGGAACCAGCCACGTGGAAGAGCATCTAGGCCAGGAAGCCTAGAGTACATGGCCCGAAGGCCATGCGCCCTGGAGGCGCAGGGCTACAGCAAGCCCTGTCCTGGCAAGAGGCCAGGGAAGAAGAGCAGGGCCCGGGCACACTGTGCCCTAGGCTTTTAACCCACTCCAAAGGGGAGTGGTTAATCAACCTGATTGGCTGGTGGGCACCCCGGTGTGGCCAGGTAGGGGAATGAGGCCACACAGGGGCGTGGCAAAGGCATCAGGTAGGAGCATGAGGTCACACAGGGGCGTGGTCTTCCAATTCACAAATCTGACCAATTTTAACCTGTATGCCTGTCTACTTCACCCCGTTTTTTAAAAATAGTGCCAGTGGGTCATCATGTCCACAAGCTTCTGTCCCCTCCCCCCCTTGACCTTGGAGTGTACTACTTTTGTGGAGCTGCAATTGGTGGGTGTACTGTCGTGTACCAGGGTATCATTAGTTCCGTGGCGTTGGATGTTTCGGTCATTTTCAGTCTTTTGCTGTGATAAACGAGACTACAAAGAAGCTGGCTCTCAGACGCGCCCTTTCGTCACTTGTGTGAAGTGTAATGGAGCAGCCGGGTCCAAGCTGTCATCGCTGTTTCCAGAACGCATGGCCCCCAGCACTGTGGGAGGAGGCCCTGCTTTCCTGCAGCCCTGACCACGGAGTGCGTCATCAAGCGGGGTTTTTTGCTAACCTGATAAGGGAAAAATGGCAGTTTAGTGTAGATTTAAACGGATTTTCTCCACTAAGAGTTTCATACTTCCCTCTCTCGTGATTTCTCTTACTATCCTTTGCCCCTTCAGGATGCTGGTCTTTTTTCTTTTTATGTCTCAAAGTTTTTCATGTACTCCTATTTGAGAGAGTGGCTCTTTTCACGATCCGTGGTGAATATGTTCCCCCAGTTTGTCATTTGTCTTTTGATTTTCCTTATGATTTTAAAAAAATGTGATTGAATCCATGGCTTCATTTTTGCTGGGGTAAATGACTAAGAGTATACTTGCTAGTTTGTGTAGTAAGTACATATTTAGTCTTCTAAGAAACTGACAAGTTGTTTTTTTTTTTTTTTTTTGACAGGCAGAGTGGACAGTGAGAAAGGTCTTCCTTTACCATTAGTTCACCCTCCAATGGCCGCCTCGGCCGGCGCGCTGCGGCCAGCGCACCGTGCTGCTCCGAAGCCAGGAGCCAGGTGCTTCTCCTGGTCTCCCTTGCGGGTGCAGGGCCCAAGCACTTGGGCCATCCTCCACTGCACTCCCTGGCCACAGCAGAGAGCTGGCCTGGAAGAGGGCCAACCGGACAGAATCCGGTGCCCCGACTGGGACTAGAACCCCGGGTGCTGACGCCACAGGCAGAGGATTAGCCTTTTGAGCCATGGCACCGGCCCTGACAAGTTATTTTTCAGAGTGGCTGTGCCATTTGACATTCCCAAAAATGTATGAGATTCAGTTTTCCCATATCTTTGTCAGCATTTGGTGTTATCATTTTTAATTTTAATTTTAGCCATGCTAATAAATAAGTAGTAATATGTCCTTAGGGTTTGTTTGAATTTGCATCTCCTTAATGCCTAATGATGTTGAATATATTTTCATGAATCTATTTGCTATTAAACATTTTATTTATGTAGGCACAGAGACAAAGAGAAATTTCACATCTGCTTGTTCACTCTCCAAATGCCTGCATAGGTTGCATGCTGGGCCATTCCAAAGCCAGGAGCTTGGAACTCTATTCGGGTCTGCCACGTGGGTGGCAGGGGCTGTCTTCTGTCTTCCCAGGTGCACCAGCAGGGAACTGGGTTAGAAGTGGAGCAGCTGGGGCTCATAGGGACGCCAGCATTGAGGTGACAGCTTAACCCATTGTGCCACAGTGCCAGACCCCAGGTGGCTTCTTAACTGACAGGCCAAGTGCTTGCCACTCTGCCATTCGTATACATTTTGATGAGTAGTGATCTAGGTTTCCTTTATGTGAATCTTTCAAATTTCTTATTTTTGTACATTTTTTCCTTTACTACTGTAATTGGAGTCTTTTGAATTCATGAATTCATTTTTATACATTTATTTGAGAGGCAGAGAGAGACACAGAGAGCTCCCATCTTCTGATTCAACCATTAAATGCCCCAGTGGCCAGAACTGTACCAAACCAAAGGTGGGATCATCCCAGGTCTCCTATGTGGGTGGCAGGAACTCAATTACTTACGTCATCACTACTGCCTCCAAGGGTCTGCTTTAGCAGGAAGCTGGAGTCAGGAGCTGCGGCCAAGAATCAAACCAAAGCTCTCAGATATGGGATACAGGTGCCCTAACCAGTATCCTAACCACTAGGCTAAATGCCCACTCTTTTTTTTTTTTTTTTTTTTTTTTTACAGGCAGAGTGGACAGTGAGAGAGAGACAGAGAGGAAGGTCTTCCTTTACCGTTGGTTTACCCCACAATGGCCGCTGCAGCTGGCGCACCGTGCTGCTCCGAAGCCAGGAGCCAGGTGCTTCTCCTGGTCTCCCATGGGGTGCAGGGCCCAAGCACTTGGGCCATCCTCCACTGCCTTCTCAGGCCACAGCAGAGAGCTGGCCTGGAAGAGGGGCAACCGGGACAGAATCCGGAGCCCCGACTGGGACTAGAACCCGGTGTGCCGCGCTGCTAGGCGGAGGATTAGCCTATTGAGTCGCGGCACCGGCCAATGCCCACTCTTATGGTCTTTTTAAGATGATATCTTCCAATTAGTTATTATGGTTTAAGTAAAAACTCAATTTTGTACCACACTGCCTTATGGAATTTCCTTTAGTTTTTCAGTGTTAAAGGATTTTAATTAGGAAATGCTATGATTGGATTTGCATTTTTTTTTAAAGTTCACTCTATTTCGTAGAGAATAGATTAAGGGTGACCAGGAGTTGTAGGAAGGCAAGTTAGAAGGTTCTTGTACTAGTCTAGGTGAATGGCAATGGTGGCTTGGGAGAGAATAGGATCATAGCCGTGGAGGTGGGGAGAACTTGACAGACAGACGTATTTTGGAAGTGGAACTGTTTGAAGAGCTTGGCGTAGATAGGGAACAGGGGAGGCAAAGGAAGGACGAGCCTGGGTTTGTGTTCTGAGCATTTGGATGGGTGGATGGGGAGATGACCTAAGATGGGGAAGACCAGCAGGGATGTGGGCTTTAGGGGAAGATTAACATTCAGTTTTGCAACATACTTTGAGGTGCCTGAGAGCCATGCAAGGGGATTTGTCAGGTGGGCCGTTGGAGGTAAGGTTTTAGGGCTCAGAGGTATGGAGTGCTTGGGTGAAATGGGGTTCATACCTGTGTGGATATCACACGGTTAACATTTAAAGCCATAGACATGGATAAGGCCACCTAGGAAAACAAATGAAAGGAGGGCGGGCCCCTGAAACCTGCCCACACCTAAGGGCTGAAGAGCAGAGCAGGGTGGGGGAGTGAGGGCCTAGGGTGTGGTGGGGGGGTGGGAAACCTGGCATCTGGGAGCCCAGAGAACTCGGTGCCTCAGGGATGAGGGAGTAGGAGGAGTTCATGAGATACCACCGAGAGGACAAGATGCCAGGACACACACACACACACACACACGAGTTAGCGTATTTGGCAACGTGGAAGTGCTGGATCATGTTTTGCTCAGAATTCCAGCTCCCAGAGTAGTGTTCCACTGGCTGCAGCAGCTTCTCCAGGTCTCTTCTTTACACATCCCTCTCTACTGTCAGTGCCAGGGACGATTGTTTCTTTGCACATCTGTGTTTTCTCATCTCTACAGCAGTATTATGTAGTAATAAGAACAATCCAGTTGTGGTCAGGGATAACATCTGTCCCTTCCCAAGCACAGGGTGCCCGGCATAGGAGCTGCCCTACAGGTGTCTGTTCCTTGCTTTCTGTCACTGTTAAGGGAAGAGTGGCAGGAATCATTCTAATAATTTGGGCTATTCTGCAAACCCTTGGCCTTGCGCTGTCTGTGGCTCGGGCTCACCATTGTCAGAATCCAGGGGCAGAAAGAACCGAGGCCTCCTCTACTGCACTCACCTGGAGGCTGCCTGCGGGCTCGGGTTGCTAAGTGCACTGTTCATTTACCAGCACTTTTTATCCTGAATCTTAACCAGCCAAGGCTGTGGTCCCCGTTCCCGACAAGGACGGGGGTGGGGTGGAATTAATTAAGCCTAGAGGAGGAGACTCTAAAGGGGTGGAGCTAAGGTCAAAGAAAGGGGAACCCTTTAAATAAGGGGCCCACACTGGCTGCCCAGGAGTGTGCAGGACCAGCCAGCGGGAAGCAGGGCTGCTGCGCTGCCCGTCCACTGCCTTCACTGTCAGTCTACAGGAAGACACCTGAGCCCTTCGGGAGATGATGGAGCCGGAGGAGTACAGAGAGAGAGGTGAGCGAGGGGCATCTCTGGCGCCTTCCCCATGCCATTCCTGTGCACACGGCTGCTCACCAGTGGCCTTGAGATTTTGGGGTGACATTTGACTGGAGCATTAAAGTTTGTATCCTTAGGATTTTTGTTAGAAAGGGAGGCGGGGTCAGCATCTCTTTCGTTCTCCTTTTCCGCTCCCCACTGTCATAAATGCCTGTACTCCTGTGACATGCTCCCCACCCTCCCCACAAGGAGAGAATTTGGATCCTTGACCCATTGAATGGGACATAAAGGATTATTCATATTCTAGAATCGCTAAATGTCTCCCTGAGTACTCTGTAGTCACTGCAAAAGCTTTTCTTTCTTAGCATCCATTTCTCTATACGTGAATCTGGGTATAGTGTTCTCTCATGGAGTCAGTCATTCCATAAGTATTTAGTAAGGGCCTGCTTGCATCCAGCCTGTCTGATGATTGAAACCCTGTTTGCCAGTGTGACTCTCTTCAGAGAAGTAGGTAGTGACTTCAAAGAGAATCTTGAATATCTTTAGCTCTATATATGCATGCTCATTCGTCTTCACTACAAGGTTGCATTGCCTGAAATTCCCATGCTGTAAGGGATGGTCCTGTGTTATTAGAGTCCAGGCCCCCCGCCCCCACCCCCTGCACAGCTGTGGCTTATTCACTGCTTTCCAAAGCCAATCCTAGCTGAGAGCAGGGTCCTGTGAGTGGTGCACACACACGTGTGCGAGGGAGAGGCGCTGGGCCATGGGAGGGCTGGAGGGGAACAGAGAGAAGACAGCAGGGTACAGAAATCTTTCTCCCCAGTTTTGTCTGGAGCTGGTTCCATTTGTAAGAACTTTGAGCAGATGCGGAGGGAGGAAGCTGGGTTTCTTAGCCATATATATTTTTTTATATATATGTATATATAATTTTTTTGCAGGGAGATAGGAATAACACTAAGGAAGGAAGGAAGGGTTATTGATATTAAGATGGGCAGGCAGACACACATAGAAAGGAGAAAAACAATGAGAAAGAGAGAGAGAGGGGAAAACAGAGAGAGGAGAGGGGAACAGAGAAGAGAATCCAAGAGAACAAGAAGCAAACAACAGACTGGGGCCTTCTCATGTGGCTATGAAAGAGAAGGAAGAATAAATAACTTGCAGTGACTTTAGAGTATTTGGCGTTGGCTCATCCACTGGGTACACTTTTCTGAGCACCTGAGCCACGTTGTAAGCACGGAGCTGTTGGTGGAGGCAGTGGGGAGCGAGACAATGCCACCTCTCACTGAGACTTCCTGCTGGTACAGGGTTTCTGTCAGGTCCATGGTTGTGCTCTTGGGAGTCCACGAGCCCCAGAAAGTACGCACAAACTCCTATGTGTGTGTGCGTGTAACTTACAGAGAATTGGGCACGGATACTTGCCAGCCATGCTTATCAAGAATATGAGATGTATGGGGCAAAAACATTATTTGATACGAAGAGCTACAGTTTCTAGCAAAACCTGTAAGCTAGTGAATTAACAGTCTTTATATTTCTAAGAAGAAAAGAGAGGTGGGAGAAAAGAAATAGACTGAGGTTAAATGGAGGGGGAAGAAAAACAAATGCTTCGCTTGGGATGAGTCCGGTGCGCTGCAGGTTTCTCCCTTGTTCCTGTGCGTACTCCCTCCCTCTCCTGCTTTTCTGTTGTGACTCTGAAGATGAGATCAGACTGGGGAATCAGGTACTCCCTCCCCTTGGCCTGCAACCCTCGTCCTTCTTCACCAAGCCCCTTGGCCTCGACCCGAGAGGGACAGGTGCAAATGCCTGGCCCCGGGCAGGGACCGTGAGCCTGATTTCTCTACCTGCCTTCTAGGGAGAGAGATGGTGGATTACATCTGCCAGTACCTGAGCACGGTGCGGGAGAGGCGGGTGACCCCAGACGTGCGGCCAGGCTACCTGCGAGCCCAGCTTCCCGAGAGTGCTCCCGAGGAGCCCGACAGCTGGGACAGCATCTTTGGGGACATCGAGCGGATCATCATGCCTGGGGTGAGACACGGTGACCGCAAGGCTGATTCTGGATTTCGGGGAACAAGAGGGCTAGGGTGGGGGTGGCTTGGAGAAGGACCTGCCTGCTGTCATCCTGGGATGACAATGCATTCTTTGGCCACTTGGCTGCCAACATCTCAGCCTATCTTCTGGGCACACAGAAGGCCTGGGCTTGAACAGGAAGTGGGTTTCTGATGCCAGGGCTGGCCTACAGTGTCCGGCAGGGCCCTGGGGGAAGGGCAGGAGGCGAGGGACAACTGTGGCTGGTGGGACAACAGAGGGAGGCTTGCAGATGGAGCCTGGGCCCCATCGGGCAGAGCCAGGGGCTCTCCCACACAGCGTGAGACCACGCTGCAGGGAAGGGAGGGAACAGAGAGCACAGCTCTGGTTGTCAGCTGGGACCCCAGGAAGCAGCCCCGCCTTTCTCCCTGAGATGGGAACTGGGTCCTTTTCTATCTGAGGGAGGCCTGGTGATGGAGCTGCTTTGCCAGTGGCAAGAAGGGCTGATCCCTCTGGAGGACGGAGGGTGCACCTGCTACAGTAGCTCATGCCGGGCCGGGCGGGGTGGGGGGTGGGGATGTGCAGGGCTGGAGCTGCTGCGACTCCCCCGTGGCCACCAGCAGTAAGGGCTCCCTGCCGTGTTCCAGGCACCGCAGCAGCCACACCTCAGGCCAGCTCGCTTAACTCTCACAGCAACCCTGGGTTACAGATGAGGAAAACAAGGCTCAGTGGTTTGTGGTCTTGTACTCGGCAGATCCCGGAGTTTAGTCCTGTCCTACTTTGCAGGCTCTGCTCTTTCTCCTACCCTCTGTCCCCTCTCTGGTGAGTGACCGAGCGTGTGTGTTACTCGGCCCTTGCTGCTTGCCGATTCTCCGGAGACCAGAGCTGGTAGGAGGGAATGGTTTGTCTCAAGAAGCCGGCATTCTTGGGGAAAGAGGGATGTCTGGATCCAAAATGTGCTCTTTCCCTCCCAACAAGCCAGCAAAAAGGATTTTTAAAGGAAGAGGCGGCTGCAGGTTGGGGTTAGAAAAACAAGTTCAGTCGATTAATAATGAAGCCGACTTTTAGGGTTTGTTGATGAGGGTCTGAGTGGCAGCGCCGCAACCACGGGGCTCAGCTGTTCGCAGTTGGTGGCGGCGTGCTTTCTCCTTGCAAGCCGTCGCCTTTCAGCAGGCTCCTGAAACTCCTGTGCAAATATTATTACTCATTAATCACAGGTAATCTGCAACACCAGCAGCTGTAGCCGGCCCTTGTCAGCCAACACAGGAAAAGGAAAAGGATGACACCTTCATTACGGTTAAACAGGCTGCTCCCCAACCCGCACCACCCCGCAGCAGCGCCCCTGGCACCCAGGCTGTCTCCTCACTCTCTCTGCTTGAGCCATCTGTTTCTTGAGGCTCATCACCACACTGACTTGAGATCAACCCCCCAAGAACACTTCCCCAGGGCGGAAACATGCCCGAGGGCAGAGGTCAGGAAGCCTCAAAGACAGGAAGCGAGGACAAGTGGGTTGGCAGCCAAACCCTCCTCTCTGCCTCCATTCCGCCGGTTTCACAAACATCTTTTGCAGAGGTCAGTAGCAGGACCGCTTTACCGAGGAGGCCAGCTCCCGATAAGAGCATCTCCTGGCTTCCATTCTGTAACAGACACTTGGCTGAGGGTTTAGCTGCAATCCGGGAGAGCGAGCTCCCCATGGAGATGCCGTGAGATTGATTTGATTGCAAGGAATTCCACAGTTGCCAGGGGTGTCTTCTGGGAGGTTCAGTGCTGGACCAAGGTCTGACTGTTTTTGATAAGGGGCCCTGGGGTTTATCTTATCTTATGTATCTTACTAGACCGGATAATTGTCCTCTTGATAGGGCCAGAGGTGGAAGCCCTCCTCTGGGGTTTCCAAAATACTGTCACTAAGCAGGGTGATAATGAGGGCCCCATCTTCCATCTCATATCACAGGCTGCAGCAGCCTCTGCGGGCCAGCCGGAAGGCAGTTGGCCTTGGCCTTTTCATTTTGGTCATTTATTTGAAAGTTGGAGTGGGTGGGGGCGGTGGAGAGGGACAGACCTCTCCCCTTTAATTCCAACCCTGGTTATAAAAGTCTGAGTGACTTTCCTGGATGGAGAAGGGCAGGCCCGGGGGAGGCAGGGCACCTTTCGGCTTAGGTGTTTGGTCCTGGAGTCAGCTTTGGGCTTCTGTCTTGGTGCTGTCATCCGTCCCTACGAGGGGACCACAAGGAAGCTGCCTCTCTGCCAGCCCCAGTTCTTGGCTGTACCACAGGGCTACTGGTGGAACTTAAGGCGTAGGATGCTGTGGGAACTAAATAAGATACTGGTGGAAAGTGGAAGATATTGTTACTGGCCATGCCTTCTGCTTGGTGGAAATCGAAGGAAGATTTATTTATTTATTTGAAAGCTAGAGTTAGAGAGAGAGAGAGAGAGAGAGAGATCTTTCATCTGTTGGTTCACTCCCCGAATGGCCACAATGCCAGTACTGGGCCAGGCCCAAACCAGGAGCTTCTTCCGGGCCTCCCACCTGAGTGCAGGGGCCCAAGGACTTGAGCCATTCTCTGCTGCTTTCCCAGGTGCATTAGCAGGGAGCTGGATCAGAAGTGGAGCAGCTGGGACTTGAACCGGCATCCATATGGGATGCCGGCATGACAGGTGGTGACTTAATCAGCTGTGCCACAATGCCAATCCCAATATGTGATTATTATTGACGTGGGTCTTCACAGTTTACAAACTTCTTGCTCAGACCACTCACCCACCCGCCAGCCTGGTGAGATAGGACTTACCATGTGATGAGAAAGTGGGGTGGAGAGGGGCAGGGGAGGATCTTCATTTTATGCAGTCTGAAGTGTGTACACATTTTGAGGCTCTCTTTAGGATAAAAGAAAATTAAGAACGGACCTTGAAAGGGATCCAAACAAATGTGGGACCTTGGTGTTTAAGTTCATTGGTTTCACAGTAGATCTACAAGGCCACACATCTGTCTGGGGCAGAGGAAGGACTGGGCCCTGTGCCTTTGGACTTAAATCTTATGCTCCTTCTGTACACACACTGTCCAGGACGCGGTTCCTCCACTTGAAAGACTGAGCCGCTGTGCGCACCCTGAATGGCAGCACGATGCTCTAGCAGGTTATGCCGTGAGCTCCAGGATGAAGCATCTGGAAACTTGGTCACTTTCTCAGAGTTAGCAGGCCGCGTCTTTGTGGGGGAGCGCCTTCTGGTCAGGAGCCGCAGCATTACCCAAGGACATGAGTGCAGAAACGAACGGGGCAGGCCAGCAGAGCAGTGAGATGAAGGTGATTAGATAATGAGGCGAGCCGCTGGGGATGCTTCCGCGCCCTCTTGGGGGACCCTCCGTCCACCCAGCTCCTCCTCACCTCCACTTTGTGGGCCCAGGGGTTAGCCTGGAGGTGGACCTCCTGGGCTGGCTTCCTCTGTCCTGGATCCACTCCCACTGGGAAGCTAAGAACAGCTTTGATTCCATTCACTGGCCCTTCTAGCTACTGCATGCCCAGAGATCTCAGGGCCCTTCAGCAGAAGATGCTTGGCCATAAAATGCAGCCCTGGGAAGACTTAAGTTAAAAATAATAAAACAAAAGATGCTTCTGTGTAAGAAACGGGAAGAGACCAGCCACCTGCTCTTCTGGAGCTCATGGTGTCCCCTTCCTGTCTTGGGGGCTGAGGACAGGAGGGGTATGTGAACCCTGCCCAGAGCCCTGCAGCCTCAGTGAAATCGGGAAAGACCCCCTAAATTTTTACACTAAAATGTGGCCCCTTAAAGTTCCCTGGAAATGCTATCCGGGGTGCCACATGTACTACCGGAATTTGGGGGTGCCATATGATTTTACCACGGGCTTATTACTAAATCCCCGATATTAATAAGCCCGAGAGGGTTCTTGCCTAATATTTAGAGAAGAATTCTAAATACTGGCACAGATAAACGAGGCAGCATGATATGTTTTAAGCTTTTATTTAGTGAGAAAGATGCATAGGAGAGTGAGAGCTTTATTTAGGAGGTAAATAGGGGTTCATACCGAGCACCAGGAACCAGCCACGTGTAAGAGCATCTAGGCCAGGAAGCCTAGAGCACATGGCCCGAAGGCCATGCACCCTGGAGGCGCAGGGCTACAGCAAGCCCCTTCCTAGAAAGAGGCCACCGTGTGGCCTGGCCTTTAACCCACTTCCAAAGGGGAGTGGTTAATTAACCTGATTGGCTGGTGGGCACCCCGGTGTGGCCAGGTAGGGGAATGAGGCCACACAGGGGCGTGGCAAAGGCGTGGTCTTCCAGTTCACAAATCTGCTCAATTTTAACCTGCATGCCTGCCTACTTTATCAGGACCACAGTGCTTCCCGTTGTGCGCACTCCCCTCTGGCCTGTGTGCAAAGGCTCCATCGAGGAGCTATGAGAATGAGTCTTGTGGTGGCAAGAACCCCAGTAAACGAGGCTCACTTTCATGGGGTTGGGTCGCTTTTCTGTCTCTTGTAAAATTGTCAGCCCATCTCCAGAGTGGCTTTTCCTTGCCAGGGAAGGTCTCTGAGGGGGGAAGCCTCCTGGTGCCAACCCTCTGTGTGCTCTGCCTCTAGGTGGTGCACTGGCAGAGCCCGCATATGCATGCCTACTACCCAGCCCTCACCTCCTGGCCATCCCTGCTGGGAGACATGCTGGCTGATGCCATCAACTGCTTGGGATTCACCTGGGTGAGTAGCACAGCTGGAACTACTGGCAGTGGGAGCATAGCAGGGAGAAGCCTTTTTTAGTCTTGGCTTCTGACCTGGGTTCTAAGATATATTTTAATAATGGCGATATTCTTTGAACTTAGACTTTATATATAAGTGATCTCGTCTAATCTTTTAACCTTTGGGAATCAGGAGGATTGGCCCCATTGAGGCTTCAGTAGCTTAGCTCCTCGGGAGCGAGAGCACACAACTCGCAGAGACACAGTGGAGACTGGGCCCGAGAGCTGGTCGTGGCTGCAGTCTGTGACTCTGATGACCGTTGGGTCACAGCTTCCCCTGTGCTCTTGCCCTTGACAAGTTACAGATATGCCTGAAGACTTCCCTGAAGCACGACTCAGCTTTACATCGTGCAAAAGCCTCCTAGAACATCTTTCTGGTTTTTTTTTTTTTTTTTTTGTGACAGGCAGAGTGGACAGTGAGAGAGAGAGACAGAGAGAAAGGTCTTCCTTTTTGCCATTGGTTCACCCTCCAATGGCCGCCGCGGCTGGCGCACCGCACTGATCCGATGGCAGGAGCCAGGTGCTTTTCCTGGTCTCCCATGGGGTGCAGGGCCCAAGCACTTGGGCCATCCTCCACTGCACTCCCTGGCCACAGCAGAGAGCTGGCCTGGAAGAGGGGCAACTGGGACAGAATCCAGTGCCCTGACCGGGACTAGAACCTGGTGTGCCGGTGCCGCATGGTGGAGGATTAGCCTAGTGAGCTGCGGCGCCGGCCTACATCTTTCTGTTTTCAGCCTGAACTCCCCTAGGGTGTGTTGGGAGGGTGTGTAGCGGGCTGTTACTATCATTTTCAGGAAACGGTTCTAAAACAAGCCCCTGGGTTTGAGAGTGCTTCTCAGCTGAGACCATTAGGGACTCGGGGAATCCAATTCAACCAATCACTTCAAGTCTCCATGGAGACTTGGAGAATCCGCCTCATTGAGAGCAACGTGAATCCAAGGCCCCACATTCTGTTTCCTTTTTAGTGTGGGAGAGGGGCACAGCACTTGACATTGAACCCCTTCTCCAGGGAGGGTCCCACTGGCACTGTCAGGGCCCAGTGAGGGCCAGGGCAGAGACAGATGCTTTTCTGGGGCTGGCAGGGGCATCTCAGTGCCTGGGGCCATGCACACGAAGTTCCTTTCCCTCTTTCAGGCTTCCAGCCCTGCCTGCACGGAGCTGGAGATGAATGTCATGGACTGGCTGGCGAAAATGCTGGGGCTCCCAGATCACTTCCTGCACCACCACCCGGGCAGCAAGGGCGGAGGCGTCTTGCAGGTGCTTTCACTGGCAGAGCTCTGCCTAGCCTAGGGGCTAAGTAGTGAAAGAAATGCCACCCCCTTGTCTGGCAGTCTTGTTCTCCGTGGAGTTTCTATCGTGTCTCCCACAGTCATCGTCATCTCCCCCATCACTTCCATGACTGGCATCACCATTGTCATAGCTTCCACTCGGCCGCAGCCATTGCTTGTGCCTCACGCCCACTGCTGCCACCACCTTCACCACCCTTCCTCCTTGTTTTTGAAAGAGATGGGGAAGTTCAGACGTCATCACGTTTCCAGGATTACTGATGCAGGTGGTTTAGCTGATAATCTGCCTCTGCTCATTGGTCCCGTCTTATACTTCATGTTAAGTAAGGAAAAGACAAGGCAAGGAGAGCTGTTGTTTCCCTCCCATTTAGGTCTAGGAGATCCTTGGCAGTGAAAGAAAGTAACAACAACAAGAGATTAATCTTATCCTCTGACCCTATCTTTTGGATGTCTTATTTATCAAGTGATGATTCTTCAAATGTTTTTCTCCCCAAAAATAATGCCACAGAGTGGAGCTTTCAGGTGCCTCCCACTGACCAAGTGCATTGCTGGGTGCTTCTGCACCTATAAATCCTGGCATTCTTGAGAGGCTCCGTTCTGAGAACTCTGAGAATCCCAAATTCTCAAATGCCATTGTAATGCTCATTTTCCTGGTTTTATTATTTATTATTACAGAGATCATGATAGTTTCCTGGAGAATGGATTTGAGGACTAAATGAATGTAAATATTCATTTAAAATAGCTCCACTGCTCTGAGATGAGGTCTGACAAGTTGGCTGGGCCTATTTGCTTGTTAAGTGACTCCCTGTCTCCTTGCAGCAAGATTAAATCTGAACTTCACAAGAAAAACGAATTGCTGCATGTTGTGGATTTTCAGAGTTATTGGCAAATAGTTACAACTTCAGTTATTATGTCTGAAAGAAGATACTCAAGGTCAACTGTATAAAATCTTGCTGTTGATCCGGAGCTGGAGCCAAGTATTGACCCCAGATTCTCTGATGTGCAACGCTGGTGTCTTAACTGCTAGGCCAAAAGCCGGCACCATCATCCCCATGTTTTGAGATAAGAGAACCGAAGCTCAGCAGATAAGTAGAAGAAAGAGAATTCAAACCCAGGCCTGTCTAAATATAAACTATTCACCCCGTGAACCTGAGTTAGTCTCATAACCTCTGTGAACATCACTCTTCTCCTCTGTGGCAGCACAAGAATCAGAGATGGTATGAGCAGCAAGTGGATGACAGAAAATATATCAGACACTGTGAATTGTGATATAGACAAAAGGTATTAATATTTTTAAGATTTATTTACTTGAAAGGCAGTTACATAGGAGGAAGGAGACACACACACACACACACACACAGAGAATCTTCCATCTGTTGGTTCACTTTCCTGCAATGGCCAGGGGTGGGCCAGGCCCCGGCCAGGAGCTTGGAACTCCATTGGGGTCTCCCACATGGGTGGCAGAGGTCCAAGTACTTGAGCTGTGTTCCACTGCCTTCCCAGGTGCATTAGCATGGAGCTAGATTGGAAGTGGAGTAGCTGCGACTTGAACCAGCACTCATATAGGATGTTGGCCTCACAAGCAGCCACTTAACCCACTGCTCCACAATGTCTGTCACATTATTATTATTGCTATTTTATGCTGGTTTCCTTGTTCTGGGGTAATTTCCATCCACAAGCTATCTATTTGGATCTGGTCCTCCCTATGACAGTATTTGCCAGACTTTTAGCAGGATTCTGTCAGCTTTAGGTCACCTGAAGTTTTTAAGAAACAAGGACTCCCAAGACTGAGTGAATGAAAGCTGAGAAACCCATGAGGATTCCTGTGAGGTAGCTGAGGGGCCCCTAAGATTCCCACGGTCATGGCCAGAGCAAAATCCCACCCAACTCTTGTTTGGGTAATTTATATTTCCATCCCAGGATGCAGTTAAAGGGGGTACCTTCCATTTTACAGATGGAAAAGAGTTTTGGGAAGTGGGCATTGTGACACATCAGGTTAAGCCACTGTTTGGGATGCCCTTGTCCCATCTGAGGGGCCTTCTCACTTCTGCTTCTGATCCAGTTTCCTTCTAATGCTCTAGGAGGCAGCAGACAATAGTTCAAGTACTTGGGTCCCTGACACCCATGTGAGAGATTTGGATGGAGCTCCTGGCTCCTGGTTTTAGCCCCAACTGTTGCAGGCATTTAAGGAATAAACCAACAGATGGAAAATCTCACTTTATCTGTGTCTGTCCTCATTCTGTCACTCTGCTCTTTGCCACATCTACTGCAAGAATGAAGCCCATTCATAGCAATGAGACTGAGGCCATTCCAGGAAATGTCAACTTCAGTCGGAAGGGGTGCACAGTTACTGTGAGGGCTCCAGAGGAGCCCTGTAGAGAGCTTCAATCACATGAGTGTAGAACTCAGTTTCATTGGAAAGAAAAAGAAGAGGCTCCAGGTTGGCAGATGGTGAGGAACGAGAAGGGAACTGGTGTTGCCTGTAGTCATGGAGAGAACACGATGGAGAGCATCTCCCTGGGCTCTGTTACCCGGTGAGGTTTGTCTAGCTCCCTTCCCCATCCACCTGCTTATTCAGGAGAATGGGTCTCTGGTTGACATCTAAAGTTTCTTAGGTGAAAAGTACATCCAACGCGTTCGGATGGGGCCAGGCATTCTTTGTTCAACAGCTCAAGCCTAGAAAGAGGAATTAATCCTTAAGGAAAATAACTTTGGACTTACTTCAAATTCAGCTGCTAATTCAACAGGCAGAAATAGTAAAAAACCAGGATATCAGAGAGATTTTGGATCTGCATGTCTCTGAAAAAGGAATCGTTCAGCAGGCTGATGAGTAAGATCTGAGGATTGTCTGACTACCGAAACAAAAACCTGGATTTTAAGTGTTTGGTGATACTTTAATAATGTAATAAAATATCCATTTGTGTGCCACCACCCGTCTCCCCTCTCCCCCCCTAAAAAAAAAAGAAAAGAAAAGAAAGTCTCCTGGAGGGGCGCTATTAGCCCAAGGCCTCAACCATTGAGAGCAAAACCGAGGCCAAAGTGAGCAGTCTCTCCCAGAGCCGGGACTTGCTCCGGGAGATCGCTGTGGACTCAGACTCCCTTTCCCCACCTAAGAGACAGAGTTCTTCCTTTTCTGTAAGTTTTGTCTGGGAAACTCGTATCCCTGGTGCGTGCAAGTTCCTTTGGTGTCTGTGGCCTCTCCGACAGATGTTGGTTCCTAGGAGCCACCTGGCTGCAGAATGCAGAACAGCGTTGTGAGTCGGGGGCAGGGAAGCTCCTCAGTCAGGAGCCGTGTGCTTCTTTGTGAACAGCTCTCACCCACACGTGCGCACGGCGCAGCTCTGAAAGCTGGGGGAAATCTGGTGGGAGAACGCAGAGAGAGGCTGCCCCTGGTAACCCTCCTTCCGCCGCAGAGCACAGTCAGCGAATCCACTTTGATCGCACTGCTGGCAGCAAGGAAGAACAAAATCCTGGAGATGCAAGCATCTGAGCCTGATGCCGATGAGTCCTCCCTGAATGCCCGACTCGTGGCCTATGCCTCTGACCAGGTGAGTTCCCAGGCACGGGACAGCCTCCGGGCGGTGGTTCAGCCGCTTATCTTCTGGGTATGAACCCCAGGTCCCTGAGGTTCAAGGCAGCTCAGGCCTGCGAGGTTGTCTCCAGGAGCTGTAGGGGAGGCCCAGCTTCAAACATAGTATTCGATTCCCTTAGTCTGAAGTTCTGGAAGCTTGTGGGGAGTGCTCAGACTAGGGTAAGTCTTTGCTAACAGGTTCCCATGGCTCTTTTAGGCTCACTCCTCAGTGGAGAAGGCCGGTTTAATTTCCCTTGTGAAGATGAAATTTCTGCCTGTGGATGACAATTTCTCACTCCGCGGGGAAGCTCTTCAGAGAGCCATCGAGGAAGACAAGCGGCGGGGCCTGGTGCCTGTCTTTGTAAGTCGCAATGTGTTCCTACACTTACAGTCGTAGAGCTGGGAGGGCAGGAAGGAATGTTGGCAGAGTTCAGGTAAGTAACGTGATTGCAAACAGACGCAGGCAGAAAGGTCCCCGAATGCCAAGGTGCTTTTTTTTTTTTTTTTAAAGATTTATTTATTGAGAGGTAGAGTTACAAAGAGAGAGAGAGAGAGAGACAGAAAAGTCTTCCATTTGCTGGTTCACTCCCCAAACGGCCACAATGGCTGGAGCTGGGCTGATCCAAAACCAGGAGCCAGGAGATTCTTCTGGGTCTCCCACACAGGTGCAGGGGCCCAAGCACTTGGGCCATCCTCCACTGCTTTCCCAGGCCATAGCAGAGAGCTGGATCAGAAGAGGAGCAACTGGGACTTGAACTGGTGCCCATATGGGATGCCCTCTCTGGAGGTGGAAGCCTAGCCTACTATGCCACAGTGCCGGCCCCCTGAATACAAAGTTTTACAAGTTATGAGTTGCGATTCATTGGTGTGCTATGAAATAAATTTTGTGGGTCATAACCAGCTTTATAAAAATGGAGGATATCAGAGTTCATGCAAAGAGCCAGAGTAGGTACTATTTTGTGATGATTTTATTTCAAAAACACATGCGTATGTGGACTAGATTGCTCTGTAAAACATGTTTCTTGCTGTAGGTCACGTAAAGCACAGTGTGAAATACACTGTGTTCTTGTGGAATGGGAGGGGTGGATAGTGTTTATCATGGGATCCTTTTCCAGCCCAGCGGGTCAGGTGAGCCCACCCTGCACCCTGACCTTGCCTTTGTTTCCCTCCAGGTCTGTGCAACACTAGGGACCACTGGGGTCTGTGCATTTGACTGCCTCTCAGAGCTGGGCCCCATCTGTAAGTGACTGTCCTTTAGGGTTGGGAAGACAAGCAATATATTAGGTGCATCCCAGGGCAAGAGCCTGAAACCAGCTCTGTGGGATTATCCTGACCCCTTATGACCAATTGGGAAATGTGGGAAGAGCCAGCTGAGGTCACCAGGGCTCCTTCTGAGCTGCCCAGGTCATGGCTTCCCCAGCGGTGTGACAGGGGCTCACACACAGCTCATGTCCTGCCCTTGGAGGCAACAGTGGGAGAGCCCCAAGTTTTCTCATCCTCTCCCTAGGATGTCAAAATCTACTGAAGCAGGCTGCATCCCAAACACGGGGTGAGGGAGTCAGGGTGAAATAGTTTGTATTCTGCTTCAGAAAAGGGGTAGGGTAGGGGAAATCGTGGGAGAGACAAAGGCAGAAAAGACACCCACATGGAGCTGTTTAATCCCCAAGTAAGAAACCCACAGGGAAAGAGAGACCTCTTCTCTCTCATCCTTATTTTAGATGCACTAATACTGCGCCCTGGGCCATTGGCAAGTTTGTTTCTGGGCCAGGATGTTCTGGTTTGAGGTCAAGGGCATGTCAGACCACTGCCCAGACCAGGGTGAGCCGCGTAGATGCCTCATTAGCCCCACTTCTCCACGCTCACACTCTCTCTTCCCATCTCCGTCCCCTCAAAGGCTCCTTTAGCGAAGCTCAGTTGTTCTCCTTGCCACCTATCACTCGGCATAGTTGCCGGCAACTCCTCTCCTAATGCCCCTCCCAGGTGCCAGCGAGGGGCTGTGGCTCCACATCGATGCTGCTTATGCGGGCACTGCCTTCCTGTGCCCTGAGTTCCGGGGCTTCCTGAAGGGCGTCGAGTTGGCTGACTCCTTCACCTTTAATCCTTCCAAGTGGATGATGGTGCACTTCGACTGCACTGGCTTCTGGTGAGTGTGGCCGCCCAGCTTGGGGCATGTGGGAAAGCCTTGTTTTCTCCAGGGAGACCTTGGCCAAATAACTCCCCCTGGGAAACCCACAGGGTCAAGGACAAGTATAAGCTGCAGCAGACCTTCAGCGTGAACCCTGTCTACCTCAGGCATGCCAACTCGGGTGCGGCCACCGACTTCATGGTGAGTAGCCAGGAGTGGGCAGCCTGGTGGCCTCTGCGGTGGGGACTGCCCATATCTGACCCCCAGAGTGTTTTGTGTATCGGATCCCTTCAGAAGGGAGCACACTATGACCTCCTCTCATAATACTGCCACTGTGTGTCCTTAGTTTTAAGTTGTGCCTGGGGATATTGCATAAGACTTGGACTACTTGGTTGCAGATTACTTAACATAATACCTGTGTGGCAAATGCTCAAGATAGGATAGGTATAATATTCCTAGAAGCTCTTCTTTTAAGCTGCCTAGATTTGCTATAGCAAAGTAGTTAAACATATAGGCACTAAAGCCAGCTGGTGTGTGTTTGACTCCTGCCTCCTCATTTACCAGCTCATGTGCTCTTGGGCAAATGGCTTATGTGCTTTGTCTAGATTTTCTCATCTGTCAAATGAGGATGATAATGATGATTCTGGCTTCTTAGGCTTGCGTGAGGATTGAATGAGTTAATACTCTGAAGCTCTGAGCAAAGTCCTATACCTATGAGTCATTCTTTGTGAAGAGCCAGTTTTGTCTTATTGCCTTGGACAACTGAACTGTCTTGCCCTTTTAGTCTTAAAATTAATAGTGCCTTCATCACTTGGATACATTGGTTATTTTTCTTTGGTTCAGTTCACATTTTCTTGAGATTTTTGAAGCATTTTTTTAAAAAAAGATTTATATATTTACTTGAAAGGCAGTGACAGAGGGAGAGAGAGAGAGAGAGCAAGAGAGAGAGAGAGAGCGTGAGTGAGCAAAGGAGAGACATGAAGAGAGAGATCTATCTGCTGGTTTACTCCCCAAATGGCTGGAATGGCCAGAGCTGGGCTAGGTTGACACCAGGAGCCTGGAACTCTGTTCGGGTGTCTCACATGGGTGTCAGGTACCCAGGTACTTGGACCATCTTCTGCTGCCTTCCCAGGCACATTAGCAGGGAACTGGATTGGAAGCAGAGCAGCTGAGACTCGAACCAGTGCTCTGATATGCGATGCTGGTGTCAAAAGCAGTGGCTTAATCCACTGTGCCAAGTTAACCCCTTTTGAAGCTTTTTTGATTGGAATTTCAGGCAGTAAGCTTGCAGTGTGGAAGAAGTAAATGAAGAAAAAAGAATAGGATTCTCTCATCCCTACTTCCCTTCTTGTGGGCTTTCACAAATTTTAAAATGCAAAAACAAATTCCCTAGCAGCCCAAGGGGAGGATATCTTTGGGGAAAAGGCGAGGTTCCTATCCTGAGTGTGAAAAGCCCATGCTCCTAGGTGTCCCTGGATCATCGTAACTTAGGGCACTGTCTTTATCCGTGTCCAGTTCGGATTTCACATTACTTTTGTTGTTCATTTGCCGCAGCATCTCAAGATCTTGCTAGGGTTCATTTGCATCAGTGTGGAGATTCTCCAGGGCCCACTCTCTTCTAGATAACTTATACGAACATTGAATTAAACTTTCCCAAGCACTGGGCTGGGAAACTTGATGTTTCTACTTCTACATCCAGAAGGTGCTGTTTTCTGTGTCTCCTCCCTCTATCTCTAACCCGATGGGTTGACTGTGCAACTTGTTCAAGTCCATGGAGAAACCCCAGGAAAGCTGAAGCTGTTCTCTGTGCTGTGGTCCTGGGAGTCCTCGCAGCTGCTCGGATCCATGCCTGAGCTGCTCTTCTTCACCAAGGTGGCAGCAACTTTCAAAAGAAGCTCAGCTTTGCTTTGAGATGAGGCAGATAGAGGGCAGCTCCCCAAGAAAGAAGATGTGCGAGCCTGGTCCCTGGGACCTGAAAACCAGGGCTAGATTTCCTGCCACCAGGGAAGCTCCCGTCTCCCCCATGGCACAGAGGGCACCAGCAGATGGGGCGGCGTCTTGCCCTTGGAAGGGGTTATCTGCTCAACTCTGAAATTACAGAGGGGGTCGGGGAATGCCTCTAGTTAAAGGAAAGCCGTGTCGGTCTTTGTAAGTCCGAGTTTCCCAATCCAACAGAAAATGTTGGCTAGAACCACCCTGCTGTGTTGACTTGGGCTGGTTTTGAAACAGTGGCAAGAGGGGAGCAATTGGGAATAGGACGATTGTGAAGAAATCAAAATTAAACCGTCTCTGCCTCTCCTTGTAGATACGCTGTGGAATATTTGGCTATAACCACCTGGAAACCACACCGTATTTCAAGATAACTCCTATCATCCTTTCATTATTCTCTCAGAGTGGAGCAGATTTCTCCCTTACGGGGATTTTGTCCCATATCTGGGTTCTGGTGCCCTCTGCTGGCAAAACTGAAGTCCTCAAGCTGGTCCTTGGCAGGACAGGGAAACCAGTCTTTGGAAAACAGTCATTGTTCTCTTATGTGGCAGAAACTTTGTCTGTTGACAAAGGGGTGATGTCCCAGCTGTGCCTAGCTCATGACATTGGGGCGAAGGATGAAGATGAGGACATTGTGAGGATTTGGCAATCGTGTGGATGGGACAGATATTTATTTTTAGTAGAAATTGCGGTAGGAGATTTCTGACACCTGAGGTCACTAACAACCACGTTGCTCATTAGGGTAACTGCAGATCTTTTTCAAACCCTTTGTGCTGTTTCCAGATCTGTGAAATCAATCAGTTTAAAATTGAGTCAGATGTCTTCAGATCTGTGGTGATGACAGCTTTGAACCTAAGCATTTATTTATTTGAAAAGGAGAGAGAGAGAGAGAGACACTTACACAGAGATCTTTCATCCACTGCTTCACTCCTCAAAGGCCTACAGAGCCAGGGCTGGGCCAGGCCAAAGCTAAGAGCTGGGAACTCAGTCCAGGTCTCCCGTGTGGGTAGCAGGGACCCAAGTACTTGAAGCGTCACCTGCTGCTTCCAAGCGTGTGCATTAGCAGGAAGTTTGAATCGGAAGCAGAGCTGAGACTGGATTCCAGGGACTCTAGTATGGGATTTGTTGTCCTAGGCAGCGTTTTAACTGCTACACAAAACTCCTGCTTCTACCGTTTTGAACTTAAACTCTATTGAATTTGATCACCAGGATAAATGAGTGACTTTTACTCTAATAGAGGCAGAGATTCAGGTACTCTTTTAAAGTCTAAAATCTAGAGTGATGCTTTGATGTCATAGGAACCTCACAGGCAAAACTCAGGACAAGGCAGTGAATTTAAATAGGAATTGTGTTGGTTCTAGACAGAAATATTTGTAGCACCATATTTAATAATCTAAATGGGCAATACTTACTGACAACAGCTCTTTGTACCTGCTGCCTTTGCATCACTTGCCTGGGAGGTGCTGTTTGTTCTCTGTCTTAGGAATGAGCCAGGGAGGTAGCGCTGCCCAAGGTCACAGCTAGGACATAGCAGAGCTGGAGGAGAAACCCAGGTCTGTAGGCTCCAGCATCTGGACTCTTAACCACTGTGCATTTAAGGAGGAATAGAAATAAAACTTTGTTTTGTGCTATTCAGGGAACTTAGGCTCTTTTGGAGAGAAACCGAATTTCCATGTCTTGAATTTCTTGGCTAAGATGGAATATTTAAAACAGTGTTTAGAGCAAGTGGTTCAGGGTCAAGGTCTATTGGCCACTTTCGTCAGACGTTTGGTTGCAAAATGGAGCAGCCCTTTGGGTAACGTGCCTTGGCTTGCTGCTTAGCAACAGCTTCAGGAGTCATGGTGACAGGGGCCGTCCCCAGAGGGGGTGGCAGGCAGCGGAGAATGCTCAGGAGCACCTGGGGGAGTGTGGCATCCTTGTTGCTAACCGTGGGCCCCGTGTTCCTCTGTTTCTAGCACTGGCAGATCCCCCTGAGCCGCCGGTTTCGCTCTATTAAACTCTGGTTCGTGATTCGGTCCTTCGGGGTGAAGAATCTTCAAGCACATGTCAGACATGTATGTAGCATGCACGCTGTGGGGCTGAGCGTTATTTTCTCATGAGGAGGGAGACTGGTCTCTGCTTTGCACACCTGCCCAGGGGATGAGTGGTGTCTGGCTCAGGTGTCTGGGTTTGGGGGCCTTCTGGGACTTGATTATTCAGGGTGGCTGCTCTTTGTTAGCTAGTGGGAGGCTGAGCACAACATGTCCCCAAGGCCTGCCTGTGTCTGTGTTCCCTGCTGAGCAATGAAGAGCGATGGCCTGAGAGCTTGGCTTGCAGAGAGGAAGAGAAAGCAAATCAAAGGATAGTGTGTATGGCCAGGAGAGGATCAGGTCTGTCTTTTAGAATTCCCATGACTGTCATGTCTGGCTGAAACTTTTAGTCACCATTATGGTCATTCTTGAAACATGGCTCTCCTGGCTTGGACAGAAGGCCTACCAAGTCTGGAGCAGCATTGTGTCAACAGGTTATTTACTGAAGGCCATTTGTAAACAAATAGTAGAATTCATTTCAATGCAGTTCAATAACTACAAAATTAATTGTGCTAGGGAAGGCGACACAGGGGTAAGTGAGATGAGACCATCTGCCACATTTTTCATGGAAGCTGTGGGACTTAAGAAAAAGCTATGCATGGGTTTAAAAAATTTGCAACAAAATGTATCTGTAATTCTATTTTAATTTAAAAAAACTACTTAGGAAGGAGACAGAGGGAGAGCACTCCCATCTGCCCATCTGGTTCACTCTTCAAATGCCTGCAATAGCTGGGGCTAGGCCAGGTCAAAGCTGGCAGCTGAGAATTAATCTGGGTTTTCTGTATGGGCAGCAAGAAAGCAACTACTTGAGCCATCGTCCTGCCTCCTTGGGTGTACATTAGCAGGAAGCTGGAATTAAGAGGAGGGCCAGGGCTTGAGTCAGGCACTCTGATATAGGATGTGGCATCCCAACAGATGTCTTAACCGCTAAACTAAACACTTGCCCCTAATTCCATTGTCCCATGAACATTTTTTTTTAAAAGAAAGAACCCTTTATTCTTTTTTTTAAAAGATTTATTTATTTATTTGAAAGGCAGAGTTACAGAGAGGCAGAGGCAGAGAGAGAGAGAGAGAGAGAGAGAGAGAGAGAGAGGTCTTCCATCTGCTGGTTCACTCCCTAAATGGCCGCAATGACCTGAGCTGCACCAATCCGAAGCCAGGAGCCAGGAGCTTCTTCAGGGTCTCCCACATGGGTGCAGGAGCTCAAAGACTTGGGCCATCCTCCGTTGCTTTCCCAGGCCATAGCAGAGCTGGATTGGAAGTAGAGCAGCCGGGACTCGAACACCGCAGGCAGAGAATTAACCTACTGCACCACGGTGCTGGCCCCTCTAATGATAATATGTTGTCATCATCATCACCATTATCATCATTTCCTATCACATGTAACAAGGATTGGTTCCATAAGCAGCCATCCAGTGAGGATTCTTAGCCTTGTGGCCCATAGTGTCTCTGTGGTGAGTGCGCCACTCTGTCATTGTAGCACACAACCCACCATTGGACAACATGTACACAAACGGGCACAGCTCATGACAAAAATGAGCAGTGGGCCGTGTTAGAAGCATGGGCTGCTCTTTGCCTGGCTGGGACCTAGAGTGGCTCAGTTGTACCTGCCTGAGAATGAAGAGCTGGGGCTGGGCTTTGGGCCCCCCTGGCCCCCCTTGGCCAGTCAGGAAGCTGGGAATCCAGGATGCTGGGCCTGGGGAGGAGTTGGAAGAGAGCCCTGACATGCCAAGTCCTCTACAGGTCTCTGATGTGTGAGGGAGTAGGGAGCCACTGGAGATTTTCCAGCTTAGAATCTGAGCAAAATCTGGGGCTGGCGCCGTGGCTCACTTGGTTAATCCTCCGCCTGCAGTGCCGGCATCCCATATGGGCGCCGGTTCTAGTCCCGGTTGCTCCTCTTCCAGTCCAGCTCTCTGCTATGGCCCAGGAGAGCAGTGGAGGATGGCCCAAGTGCTTGGGCCCTGCATCCCATGGGAGACCAGGAGAAGCACCTGGCTCCTGGCTTTGGATTGGTGCGGTGCACCAGCCACAGCGGCCATTAGGGGAGTGACCCAACGGAAGGAAGACCTTTCTCTCTGTCTCTCTCTCACACTAACTCTGTCAAAAAAATTTTAAAAAAAATTAAAAATAATCTGAGCAAAATCAAGTGGAGAAGATAAGCAGGAGCTGCTCAGGGCTCTGCGGTACCGAGATGTGAGTGGTTTCAGAGTACACAGTGGCGCGAATGCTTACACGTATCTAGTCCCTTGCTCGAGGATTAATCTCAGTTCTCTCTCTACTTACAATTCCAGGGTACTGAAATGGCTAAGTATTTTGAGTCTCTGGTCAGGAATGACCCTTTGTTTGAAATTCCTGCCAAGAGGCACCTTGGCCTGGTGGTTTTCCGTCTGAAGGTAAGGCCTGTTCCCAACCCCGGGGCTGGTGGCTGTGGAGTCTCCTGGAGACCTGGGCTCCAGCGGGTGCCTGTGGGCCTGTGATGCAGACCTCACGTCTCTTTGTCCTTCGGACAGGGTCCTAACTGCCTCACAGAAAGCCTGCTAAAGGAAATAGCCAGAGCTGGCCAGCTCTTCCTCATCCCTGCCACCATCCTGGACAAGCTGATCATCCGCTTCACCGTGACGTCCCAGTTCACCACCAGGGAAGACATCCTGAGGGACTGGCACCTCATTCGCGACGCTGCCACGCTCATCTTGAGTCAGCACTGCACTTCCCAGCCCAGCCCCCAGGTCAGGAACCTCATGCCTCGAAGCCGAGAGCCCGGAGCCCTGGGCAGCGGGATGCCCCTTCCGCCTGCGCCCGCGGCGGGAGACGACTCAGCCCCGGCCAGGAAGATCATCAAGCAGCCTCAGCGTGTGGGAGCTAGAGCCACCAGAAGCGAAGACAGCTGCCACGTTGAAGCTTTGCAGGATCCGCTCGACGACTTCTCGGAGGAGGCCCCGGATGTCAGCAAGCACAGGCTGTCCTCTTTCCTGTTCAGGTACTTGTCCGTGCAGCATAAGAGGAAGACCGTGCGCTCGCTCAGCTGCCACAGCGTGCCCGTGTGTGCTCAGAAGCCGCTGGCCACAGACGGCTCTGCGAGGAGCGGGGGCTCCTCCAGGGTCAGAATCTTTTCCAGGTTTCCAGAAGAGATGCTGCTGCTGAAGAAGAGTGCCTTCAAAAAACTCATCAAGTTCTACAGCGTCCCCAGCTTTCCCGAGTGCAGCTCTCAGTGTGGCCTCCAGCTGCCCTGCTGCCCCCTGCAGGCCATGGTGTAGACACGGAGGTCCTTGGCCAGAGCTTGAGATCATGCTTCGGGGTGGGGGGGTCTGTGACCCCCTCAGAATTGTATGCGAGTTTGTGTGCTTATGTCTGTGTGCATTTTCCTTGGGAGCAAGTCTGTAATTTGTATCCGATTCTCCGAGGGGTTCCTGACCCCAAAAGCATATAAATGGAGAGTGTAGGCCAGCGTGATCTAGAAGGTTCCAGTAGCTCATCAAAAAGAAAGGCTGAGGGTAGCATATTGACAGGCAGCTTCTGTGGCTCAGCTTGTGACATGGAATTAACATAGAAATAAATTGTATTTGTGTCTGAAACAAAACCTGTCCCGTGTGACTCATTGACACTGAAACGTTGATAAATTAACCAGGGCGTGTCCTGGAGCCTGAACACAGACACCATCAAGATTCTGTTCTTCAGGGATGCTCAAGATCTGAATGTAACCACGGGAAAGTGGGTTTGCCCTTGGTAATGAAGAAGGCAGGCAGCTTGTATTTGTAAGTATGGTGATGAGCCAGGCACCGTGGCTTACTGTTCAAAAACGAGGACACGGAGGCCCCAGGTGCCTCAGTTTTCAGTGGGCAAACGCAGGTCTCCTTGTTCTCACCACGCAGTGCTGGTCGAGAGGTTCTTTTTTTTTTTTTTTTTTTTGACAGGCAGAGTGGACAGTGAGAGAGAGAGACAGAGAGAAAGGTCTTCCTTTGCCGTTGGTTCACCCTCCAATGGCCGGTGCGGTCGGCGCACTGCGCTGATCCGATGGCAGGAGCCAGGTGCTTCTCCTGGTCTCCCATGGGGTGCAGGGCCCAAGCACTTGGGCCATCCTCCACTGCACTCCCTGGCCACAGCAGAGAGCTGGCTTGGAAGAGGGGCAACCGGGACAGAATCCGGCGCCCCAACCGGGACTAGAACCCGGTGTGCCGGTGCCGCAAGGCGGAGGATTAGCCTAGTGAGCCGCAGTGCCGGCGGAGAGGTTCTTGATTTGGAGCTCACAGGCCAGTCCAGAGGCCCCTTGGATCCTCCAGGACATGTAAATGTTCCATCTCCAGCTTTGGAACTTGTGTATTCTCCTCCTTTTTTCTGGACTCTGTAGTCAGGTGCAGGGTCTGTTATTGTGGTGCAGGGATATAAGCTGCTGCGGGTGATGCTAGCGTCCTGTGTTGTAGCACTGGTTTGAATCCTGGCTGCTCTGCTTCTGATCCACCTCCCTGCTAATGTGCCTAGGAAAGCAGCAGAAGATGGCTCAAGTCCTTGGGCCCCTGTCACCCATGTGAGAAACCCGGATGGAGTTTCGGGCTCCTGCCTTTGGCCTGGCCCAGCCTTGGCTGTTGTGGCCATTTGGGGAATGAACTAGTAGATGGAAGATCTTGCCTCTCCTCCTCCTCCTGGTCTGTGTCACTCTGGCTTTCAAATTAATTAATTTTAAAAAAAAGCTGTGCTCCCATGCAGCTTAGCCATGATTAGTTCTGAGGCCAAAAAATGATTGGCTTCCCATTTCAGATGGCACCTTTGTAGGGAACGGCCCTGAAATTGGTTGTATGAAGATCCTCAAAGAGACACAAAGCATGATGTTGGTTGAAATGGCAAGGGCAGATTTTAATCAGAAATTCACTTATGCAAAACAGTCCAGTATACACTGAACTCCACTTTGTGCACAGGTGACTGGACATTGTAAAGGGAGAATGGGTTGATGGAGAATGGGAGGGGGCCAGAGAGCACTTGGTAAGCCCAGGAATGTAGAAAGTAGTAAAAGACAAGCATGGGGGTTGCTGCCTTTATTAACTGATCTGGAGGTTTGGTTCCTACACTCCCATAGAGACTGGGAGGTAGGAGGTGGGGCCCTATTTTGAGGTGGAGCAAACAGAAAGCTGTTCAGGCAGCCCTGAGCTTTCTTTTCTTTTTCTTGTTAAGGGGGTCTGGCTTGGGACGGGGGTGGGGCTCAAAGGGACTTGGCTACAGTTTGCTTCAGGGGTGAATCTTTGCCAAGAGCTTAAGTCTTCATGTAGCCCCTTGCCCTCTGTGTGATCCCTGGACTTTGCTGCATCCTGGAATCCCCTGAGGTGGGTGGGTGATGTCTTAAAAAAATGCTTAAAGCCTGCCTCCTACTCCTAGAAATCCTGATCTAATTGGCCTCGGCTGTGGGATTTTTTTTTGACAGCTACCTAGGTGGTTCTATTGTGCAGCAATATCTGGGAAGTATGGCTATAGCTTGGCTTGCCATGCACAGAGGCTGTGCGGCTCAGACACCCTGGAATCCCCAGCTGATTCTTAGGCACAGCCAAGCTAGAGAAGCACTGCTCTAAGCCAGTGGGCCTCAGATGGAGCCCACATCTGAAACACCAGGCCGGCTTGTTAAGATGCAGGTTGCTGGCCTCCCCTTTAGCACTTCTGCTTTGGCTGGTCTGGGATGGGGCCCTAGAATTGGCTGAGTTCCCAGATGCTGCTGATGCTGCCGGTGCTGGGACCATGTACACAACTGCCGGCCCGTGAAGCTGTTCTCTGCCTGCCAGAGCTGGGTGGGAGTGCAGTTCTGACAAGTTGTATGACTTTAAGTATGTCACATGGCCTCCAGCCTCAGGGAATCTTTTATCAGATACAGAGGTTTGACTAGATGCCCCGTAGAACTGCTTTTAGATTTGCTATAGCAAACCACAGTGTGTGTATCTAGTAAGTAGATAGAAGCTCTTGCTTGATATGAATTTCTAAGAACAGTCGCGGGCTTAAGATGAGGGAGCACATCTAGGCCTTTCCTGGGCCTAGGCTTTGAGTTACCCCAGTTCCAGGGGTGACAGGGTACAGCATGGGTCAGAGGAAGTCAGGGCCTGGCCCATTTTGGTTCCTGGAACAGTAGCATCCTGGTCTAAGTGTTGACTGCTCACCTGCGAAAATGTCCTTTGTGATGTTGAAGGCCATCACTGCTATAACTTAACCTCCGCTGACTGCCTGATTCACTCAGGCGGCATTCCACGTAACACAACTGTGCGATGTGATACCTTTTCTTTAAAAAAAAAAAAGATTTATTTATTTATTTATTTGAAAGAGTTACAGATAGAGAGGAGAGGCAGAGAGAGAGGTCTTCCATCTGATGGTTCACTCTCCAGATGGCTTCAATGGCCGGAGCTGCACTGATCTGAAGCCAGGAGCCAGGAGCTTCTTCCAGGTCTCCCACGTGGCTGCAGGGGCCCAAGCACTTGGGCCATCTTCTACTGCTTTCCCAGGCCACAGCAGAGAGCTGGATTGGAAGAGGAGCAGCCAGGTCACGAACCGGCGCCCATATGGGATGCCAGTGCTTCAGGCCAGGGCGTTAACCCGCTGCACCACAGCGCCGGCCCCAACAGTGTAATACTTTCAAAAACAAAGGCTGTGCTATTTCCTATCACTTGAGTTCAGATTCTCGATAAAGCAATGGTAGAGAGCATTTTGCAAAAATTCTCAAGTGCTGACACATGAGCAATAATCATTTTAAATGATTGGCAAAATTCACAAAGATGCAGCCCATCCAGTTTTTCCTTGGGCCAGGAATGTTTATGTTAGACACAATGAGCAGGGGCAGGGATTCTAGGCCCGACTCAGTGACCGTGATGCTCCCATGGTCTAGGACAAGCTCTAGGTAAAAGGACCTGCTCCTGGAACTCGGTTACGGTGGACATGTGTAGAGATACAATAGTTGTACTCAGGACGGGAGGCAGCTGAATGTGATGAGAAAGAGCTCCTTAGAGGTTTCCAACCCCCCCCCCCCCCCCGCCAACTCTATGCCATCCCAAAGGCTCACATGTGGTCCACAGACACACTTTTTACAACTTGAGAGATTTCAGAAGGACCTGGATTTCTGTTTCCTGAATAGTCAGAGAATCAGAACACGTTCTGAATTTCTCCATGACAGGGATCAGGTGGTGATGGCTGGGAGACGCTGTCTCCGAGCTCACGTCATTCACTCGCATCCACATCAGCTGTGCGAATCCTCAAGCTGCTTGGGTTTGCAGTCTTTAATGTGTTAAACCATATTTGACGAACAGCTTTTATGCATAGCACTCTGAACACAGAACTTTGATAGGCTCCTTCAAGGACTATAGATGGCATTGGGACTATAGATGGCACTGTCACCTGCTGGATAAAGCTGTATGTACACGATGCTTATGCGTGGGGTGAGTCGCTTTGTTACACTAGAGCTGGATTTCCACTGGGTTTTCCTTGTTGTTATTCCTTCCTTAGCCTCCTCCTGTTTTTTTTTTTTTTAATTTTATTTTATTATTTGAAAGGCAAAGTTACAGAGAGGCAGAGAGAGAGAGAGAGAGAGAGAGAGAGAGAGGTCTTCCATCCGCTGGTTCACTCCCCAACTGGCAGCAATGGCTGGAGCTGCGCTGATCAGGAGCCAGGAGCCCCCTCCGGGTCTCCCTCGCTGGTGCAGGGTCCTAGGAACTTGGGCCATCTTTTACTGCTTTCCCAGGCCATAGCAGAGAGCTGGATCGGAAGTCGAGCAGCAAGGACTTGAACCGGTGCCCATATGGGATGCCGGCAGTGCAGGGGGTGGCTTTACCTGCTATACCACAGTGCCAACCCCACCCCCATTTTTTCTTTTCTATTTTTTTTTAAACTCAGAATTCTATAGTGAGTGGAACACCTGCCTGTGAAAACTTATTAAGGAGGTTGTCAAGCTTTGGAGTAAATGACAAAGGATTTTCATTTAGAATAAAGCCAGGAAGGAACATAAAAAACAGTGTCACGTCACATGCTGGTGTTCATCTACTTTATTTATTTAAAAAAATAATGCCCTCCCTCCAGCAAGCTCAGTTTGCAAATACAAACAGTAAGTGCACATTGGAAAATAATTATCTCTAAATCTTTTCACTTGCAAAGGTCTAGTTGTAATTTAAAAAGTGGTCCCTTGCTGGTATGCATAATTTCCTAATAAAAATAACTGAACGTGACAATCTTCGATTAAATTAAAGTTGAATTATATCAAATGGCTGTTCTAGGTCCATTCCATTTCTTTCTGGAACTAGACATTATCCTCTTGGAAATAGTCAGAGTTTCAGAGTTTTGTCACTTATGGCATTATAAATGTCCTGAGTCATAGGCACATACATTTTCGCTGTGTCATCCAAGAAATACAAGGTATCCTTGATGACCGCAGGGTTGAAGCCCTCCTCCATGAGGGTTACTTTGCGGTGTTTGAAGGTCCCAGTGATCTCAATGGCGTCCTGAAAGACATCACAGAACACACGTGAGGCTTGTGCTTGCAGTAGATGAGGGTTCAGGGCAGTGGAGGGCACGGGCATTTGGCATCTCTGGCTCAGGGAGAGCTGCGAAGTGAGCTGTTTTTTTCTTATTTAAAAA